CTAACTGATTAGCCTACAACAAAATAACCCTTCCACTGAAGAATGATACTCATGCAGGGGTTTGCAATAATTTAAATGTTTTGTTCCTCTTCCTTCTCTCTTCGAAAGCAACATCTCACATGCAGCCGATGTGAAGCAGTTCTGAATTTCTACTTTCAGATCCTTAAGCACACTTTCCTGCAAAAGGTAACAGAGTTTTCCTTCATCTGGGCTATTTCAACGTGCATCTTCCTGGAGCCCTTCTCTCTGTGGGACACCACAGAGCGTACCTAAAACTCAGCAGCAGTCTGCAGATAGGGCAGCATGCAGCAAGTTGAAACAAATATGACATCTGCTCTAATTTGACGTGAAGTACCACAATCAGTAGTGCAACTCCTGTGATCACAGGCTGTATTTCAAGACTACTTTGTGGAAGATATATGAAGTTTGAACACGAAGCCAATACCGGATGGCCAAATGCATCAGAAGTGATCACAAATCAAACCATTAGTAAGAAAATCTTCTGCACCACTCTCTCTTCCTCCCTGATTCTCTGCATTTCTGCTCACATAAATCACAACTGTAGCTGGCAGGCACTGGTTTACATTTGAAAAATTACTGCCATTCCTAAGACATGACGCAGCCGATTGTAACTCAACCACCACATGGTATTTCAACAGAGTAAATACTTTTTTGCAGCAAGAGCAGTCCTATGTGCTGCTCCTTGCAGCAGAGAGAAATATAATGAGTCTAAAAGGTCACCGATAACTACTAGGGGTAATTACCTGTCAGTTTACCCAAAAAATCTATTTGATGCCCCCCCCCTAAATAAAAGATGATAGATTGCAGATGAAAGGCTGCTATTTGTGCCTGTAACAGGTAGTTTCTATTGGTAACATGGCTAGGGTATTTCAACCATAGCAAACTGGTTTCCTTTGGAACTGGGTCAAAACAAGCCATCCTCTCTCAAAGAGCCACCCATGAGTGCAGAGCTGAAATGCAACACAGAAACCCCTGGAATGGGATGTGAAGAGGCAGAGAAAGCTTGGGAAACAAAGCTGCTCCAATGTTCACCAGTCTTTTTCTTGCCTCTAAAATGCACCAGATGAGCCCAAATACTTTCTGCAGAGCTGCAGAACTGCTTTGCTCCATCAGCTCCCCTCCAACCCAACATTTTCTGAATAAAACATTATGATTTAGCTCAGAGTCTAAAGATTACAAAAATACACTGAATTCATTGATACACCTCACTGACCAGTGAAGTTTTTGCAGGCTCATAATAATATATTCAGTTACACATGTAACAGTTTGAGAAGACCACAGGCAGCAAATAATGCTTTTGGTTTCTCTGGCCCTTTGTAGGCAGAACAACACACATTGTGGCTTTCAGACTTCTGCTGCAAGCTCTATATTTGCTGCTGGCTTGAACCATTTGGTGGCATGTGGAGTGAACGCTCCATGAGAGCCTCCAGCTGCAGAGGATCAGATGCGATAACCTGCCCAGTCCTCCCCCAGCCCCAGCATGCGAGCTCTATGGAGCAGCTCCTATTGCAAAACCAGAGTGCATACACATTTCAATAGACAGCCACAGCACTGCATGCAAGTGCAAGCCACCAACAAACTCCAGCTGGTTTCTCACTCTGGAAGACCATCTGAAGAACAGACACCTACCCAAACCAACCACAGAACCGTACACAGCACTTCTCATCCTGTTTGTTCACACAGGTGACATGGAAAGCCCACGTACCTGATGCACTGTTACAGTCATCTGGAAACTGTTCTGGCTAGAAACTCAGCACTTTTTCTTTCTGAACTGGTTTTGAACTGGCTCAGTTCCCTGCGCTGGCTTACACCAGCACTGCTCCTTTTCTTCACACTGTTATTGCACGAGGTAGGAATCAGAAAAAGGGGTGCAGTGGCTTTTTCTGATAGCAGCCTGGATTTATACCAGAATAGAATAGTTAATGATTCCACAGACTCCAAACTCTCTCATATTTGGTGCTGAAGCCATTAGTACATTTTTTTTTCCAGTCCTCAAAGAACACTTTCATGTTAAGAGCAGATGATAACTAAAGAAAGAATTGCTTTTAGAACTGAAGTGCAATACTTAAGCTGAAGCTCATGCAATCCCGTGTTACAGCCAGCAGGAAAAAACAATTACGTTGTGGATTCCCTAAGTTAATGATTTTAAAACAAGCAGAAAACTGAAGCTGAAAACTGGGGCGTCATTCCGATATCCTTTCCTGCAACACAAAAAGTTGGCACGAAAGGCACTCTGCAATGACAACTGTTTTAAAGAAGCCCCACTCCACAAACAGGCTATTTCATTTCATTTGGAGCAGACCATCCAACTTCAGCATCTTTCCTTCCCAAACCAGAGGTGAAGGACACTGCAAGGAAGCTTAATGAAACCCCAGAAATCCCACTGCTTCAAGAGGCATAATGCTGCCCATCAGACCCTCAGCAGCATCTTCATCCCCTTACAAAGCTGAAGCTCCCAAACCCAGATCTGTTATTGGGTTGAAAATTCATTGGGAGTGAGGAGCTGTGAGTCATCTGCATCTCATGTATGTTTCCCTTAGGATGCTGTGATTTCCAATTTTGATGTTTTCCAACCTCTCTGCTGCCTGCAGCTTCAAACTCAGTCCATACACCATCTGTATCAATGGTGCTAAAGGCAGTCTCTGGGCTTAACCAACTGAGAACAAAACTCCTGGAGGGCAGCAAACCCATCTGAACCCACAAGTAACAGATCTGTAGACTGATGCAGATGATCAACTATTCTGAACTGCAAACATTAGGCACATGGCACTGAATCACACGTTAACTTCTTGGAATTTCTTTGTGTTTTGGTATGATTTACAGGGTTGTGTTTTTCTGTATTAGTTTCCAAAGCACAGCTTGGTAACAATCACAGTATGTGTCTGTTGTTTCTAAAATCAGTGAACCTTCTGTATTCATACTTTACAGCCACCAACCCTCCCCCCTAGCAGCGAATGGAAGTTCTTACCCACACGAGAAGCTCACAGTTTCCTTTCAATCCACATCAGCCTCTTGAAACTGAGGTATCAAGAGAAAACGCTCAAAGCCCCCTATGTTTTCCAGACAGAAGTGGACCTTTTCCATCTCATGGGATCACAGAATCACAGAATGGCCTGGGTTGAAAAGGACCACAGCGCTCATCTGGTTCCAACCCCCTGCTGTGTGCAGGGTCACCAACCACCAGAGCAGGCTGCCCAGAGCCACATCCAGCCTGGCCTTGAATGCCTGCAGGGATGGGGCATCACAGCCTCCTTAAAGGCCCTACAAAACAGCCATATACACCCCTAACCTATCTATGATGAGCAGACCCTACTGTTATTTCTGACAGTCAAATTAAGCACAGAAGCAAAGAGGATTGGCATCTGGGTGCAACGCTTCAGCACAGCACAGGGCACAACCGTAGAAGGGAAAGTGACAAGTCTGAGAATACCAAATTGACAGAATTAAGATTCATTAACACCACGTATCAAGCACTGCCTGACAAAGTTTGTCGCTGCATAAATAATTCTGCTTGCTGCCTGTGGGTTAACCCTATCAGCTGTGTTATGAAATAAAGGCAATGAACTCCACACCAGTTGGGCCCATGAACGCATTCAGGGACATAAGGATCAGCTGGCAAAGACACAGACCTACATGGAGAACTTCCTACCAGCACATCTTATGGTTGGTAACATAAGGGAGGAGGTAGTTTGTTCTCCACCCTGCTTACTCACCAGCCAATGCCCTTTGCGGAGAGGAGCTTTCATAATCAGCAGTTGGCTCAGACCAACAACACAAAAAAATCACCCTGGAAGCAAGAAGAAATGTTGACGAGAGGAGTGCCTCTGATTCATCCTCCTGCCCAAGGCCATTCTTCAGGTAGAAGAGCCTCAGAAAGGTATGTTTTAAAAACAACAACAAAAGCAACACAAATAAAACACATCTCGCTCAGCCATTCGGATTACAATTCTATATGTGCTTGATTATAATACCAATATTTTTCAACCCTGACATCCAGAGTAATCTCACCAAGTCATACGCGTGCTCTCCCACATACAAACAGGCTGTTCCCTACCCAGAAAGAAACAAAGTTCAGGCTGTAGGATATTCCACACCCTCACTGATACCTCGATAAGATTGTGCTGCATGCAGTTCCTCTGAACTTATTTAGCCAAACTGAACCCGCAGTCCTTGCAGAGCCACCTGGAAATAATTCACTTCAAGCTCAATGTGCAAACGTGCAGGACGGGGTTCCTCCCTCTTCAGCTCACAGACTGAACAACCAACCTCATAGGACCTGAGGGAATCGACCCTTCTGCATGCTTGCAATCAAAAACTCTCCTTGCATCAGTTGTGGAATGCACCGGGCACAAACGATCACCCTTCGTTAAAAGATCTATAAGAGCTGAAATCGACTATAAGGGATTGTTTCTGTCATTAGTGGTTTCCTGCCTTCTGTTCCGCGCCCAAAGCTTGCAATCGAGCTCAAAACTGTGTGGTTTTCAATTTGTCACGCTCTCACGAAAACGGGAACTTGTCTGTGGGTTTGCTTCCTCCTAAGGAAAACGGAGCCAGCATTCAGACATCCCCTGTGAGCCCCATGAGGAGGGCAGGGCAGCAGGCACAAGGTGTCATCCCAGCAGGGATGTTTCCGATCCTAACTTACAACCTTCTTAACCTGTCATCGCTGCTTCCACGCGCATCTCCTTTCGGGGAGCGCAGCTCCGTTCGTCGTCTGCCGCTGTTACAGCGCTGCAGAGCCTCAATCACAAAGGTCAGCGCTGAGCGCAGCTCCCCGGGCTGCAGCCGAAGGCGCACCATTGCCTCTATTCGCGCGGGTCCAAAGACTGCAAACCCGCAACTTGAAAGAGAAGAGGCTGAAATAAGCATCCAAAGGAGAAGAAAAGAGAGAGGAGCTGCGGCGGGCGGGGGGAGCAAAGCGCCGCGCGGGAGCCGCGACACGGGAGGGGAACGGGGCGGGGGTCCGGGCTGGCACTCACCGACCCCGTACTTCTCCCGCTTGGTGGGGATCCAGCGGGCCATGCCGGCGGCCGCTTCCCCGACGGCTCGGCTCAGAGCGGCCGTTCGCCCTCCGCCCCTCCGCGCCGCCTCAGCCCGGCCCGCTCCGCCATGCTACGGAACTTCCCGACAGCCGCTCTCAACTTTGCAGCCTCCCCGCTGCGCCGAGCGGAGCCGAGCCGAGCGGCTCGGAGGAGGGGAGAAGCGAGGGGAGGCGGATCGGATCGGCTGTGCTCGGCCCGCCCCGCTCCGCCCCGCCCCGGCTGCGCTCCGTGCTGATGCTGCCAGGCTCCCAGAAGAGTGTTTTAATATCAAACCCTAAATCAGTAAGAAAAAAAAAAAAAAAGGCTGTTTTAAAAGAATTCAAAGCATCTGGGGAACAAATAAATAAAAGCGGTCACGGGGCTGCGCTTTGCAAAAAACAAAAACAAAAACAGAAACCAAACACACAAAAAAACCCGGTGTTCTTGTTTGAGTTGGCACCTGATGATGTCAGCCTGCACTGAAGTGCGGTGAGCTGGGACGTGATAAAGTGCTTAAAAGTGGTGACAGGGAGAGAGAAGCTGTGTGCCTGCCCGGATCCTGCTGTGCAGGTCTGGGGTTCTGACCTGAACCAGACTGGCCGGCTTCCAGAGCTGTGCTGTCTGCGCTGCGTCTCAGCACCACCCACTGCCGATAGCCTCAGCAGCACCACTGAGAATCGCACCGTCATTTCTAAGCGGGGGTGCAGTGAGAATGTCCCGGTCCTTACGGGGTCCTTACATCTCCTTGGGAAGTAACGAGACGTCATCTCTGCCTTTGCAGCATGCCTGTCTCCCGTGGCAGGTGATGAAAACTGTAAGCGTTCTGAATACCTGAAAACTCAACCACCTGTTTCATTGCACTGAAGCATGAAAATCCAGGGAGATCAGCTTTTTTCATTACTTTACATTACAAGTCAGAAGCACTGGGGATAGCTCTTGTGCTCAGCTGCTGCACTGCCCTGGGCAGATCACTTCATGTGAGCCCCAGATGCATCCCTTGTGCATCTTCAGAGCAGCTTCCCATACATACCTCTCCCATCTATGCTTCTACTGAATTTAATTTGCCTTCATCTTCACTGGCGCCTGTAAGTGGTAGAGAAATATAAATAATAATTAATTACTAGTAATTTGCACTCTCCAACAAATAACCTTGATCCTTGCCAGCCCAACATAAGTACACTTGATATCATTACACGTGCCACAGTACCAGCATACAACATTTTCATAATACCTGCTGATCTGGTCAGATGCTCAGCCCATGCACAGCACATTACTCATCCAGCTGTGATGCACTGCAATGTTACCCTCACTAAAAAGGCAAACCCTGCCTTGCAGTGACGTGCTCTGCTCCCAAGGGATGCTCACAACAGGACTGACCTGCTCCCAGCTATGCTTCTGAGCCACCAAACATTGTAACACTGCAGCTTAGAGGTTGAATGTGGACTCTTTCAATACCTGCACAGCACCTGAAGCTTCCACAGAGAATGTCAGTGGAAATTGGAACTGGTTAACTCATTTGTTTTTCATAAAAACCTAACTAAACTCAGCCACCTGTGCATCAGATGCTGTACTGAGATGTACTTGAAGCCCTTGCTCTAACCCATAAAAGCCTGTAGTTGCTCGAGCTGAAGATTCAATAGTGCCACTGAATGTAGTCCCATAGAGATTCCATGGGGAGCTGAGTGCTGACAGGAATTGCACAGTGCTGCCCAGGGCCCCCTCACCAGCTCAGGGGCACCTGACAACTTCTTAAAGTTTGGAGAAGGTATATTGAGATATTTTACAAATCCTTTGCAAATTCTGGAAGATTCACTTGTTCCTTATATAAGGTTAATGCTGCAACCACTCCAGACCTTAAAGAGGTCTCCAAAGAGCAATGCAATAATGCTATCAAGGCAGTCAAAGGGGTGGTGGTTGTTCTGAGCCCCTCTGCTCTGATACCAGACTGTCTGGATGAGGCTGTTCGCTCTTTTAGCAATGCCTGAAGTGTTCTTCATGTAAAAGCTTCAGTACTTCAAGCCAAACATTCCTCACATCATAACACCCAAAGTTAGTTAAACTTACTCTCTTTAGAAAGAGGGGAAAAAAAATCTCTTTCCTTGCTGATAAACTTTGCTTCCTTCCCTTTTTCCTTATGCTATTCCTAATGGCTTTCCATAGCATCACACCAAATAAAGCAGCAGCTTGATGAGTGTCTCATAGATGACCAGGGAGGGACTGTGGAAAGTGGCCGGATCCGAGGCCAGAACAGCAAAGTGTTAGGAAGACAGTGGCATGAGTTTTCAAAGAAGACCCACATTGTGGCTGCCAAGGCCTTTGGCTGGAGGTTCTTTAATGGAGAGTCTGCTTGCCTAAAAGCTTCATTTTACTGTAAGATTTCTGTTGATAGAGTTAAGCTGACTGAACTGAGCAGTATTTTCCAGCCCAGGTAAAGCAAATTCTTGGCAGCAAATGAAAAACAGAGCAAAACATGAAAGACAGACAAGCAGCAACTAGAATAGCTGGAGATAGTTGAACGATTTGTTAAATACAATGATTTGCAAGTGTTGGGGGCACAGGGAACAGGAAGCTGCAGCTTCCACTGAAAGTAGCTTTTGTTGAGGAAAGGCTTTTATTAATCTTATTTTACCAAATATTTTTCTTTTTATCTTTCAGTGCTTATGTGCTGCTTAAACAGGGATGTTAATGGCAAAGCCTGGACCCTGTTCTTCTCTGCCTCTAACGACAGCAAGGTAGATAATTAAATTATCATCAAGTTTACAGCAGAGATTATCTCTCTTTACATAAATCCCACCTCAAACCCACAAGATTGATGTTATGTTACAGCATTTATGTACATTATGTACAGCATATACATGTCAAATTTGGGGGCAATTTGGGTGACCAGGATTCACAGGCATTCATAGGCACTGAGAATGTTGTATTACTTTCACATTCCATAGTTGCCATTTATCTGACAGCTGTAAATCCTTTCTCTAAACTGAGCATTTCAGAACTTGAAGTTAGAAAGAACCCTGCGTCCTACAAACATTTCTGAAGCACTGCCTAACTGCATCTCTTGCTTTGTGCATAATTAGAGATGAAGAAATGTAATTCTAGTGCCCTCCTATGTTCCAAGTAAGAACTTCAATAGCTGAAGAATGTGCTGACCTTCACTGGGTGAATGGAAACGGCAATGGAAAGCTTTTCCTATGGTAACACTTAGAATCCAGGCAGGTGACTGCAATAGTTCTCATCTTGCTGGATTCTGTGCATAGATAAAGAAAAAGGTGGCACTTGGATCAAGCAGCTCACACTGTAATTTAAGCAAAAGAAGAGAAGCAGTGGAGAAAATAATAAAACTCTTGTTCAGGACAGTTGTAGTGCACGACCACACAGCAAAAAACCCTTCTACCACAATTCAAACCCTCCACCTGATGAATGATCAGGTATAGATCAGAAATGGGCCCTCATTTTCCAATCACCAGCAGAAGTCATAAATTAAAAGCAACAGAGGAAGCCATATATGCAATTAAATATGCAAATACATACACTACAATGGAAGCTTTTCTCTATCTGCCTGTACATGTTTTATCATGCAATAGTGTTTTGTTTTATCTGAAGATCTCGCAGCCCAGATACATGTATGTGTAGCTGACTATTTCACTGCATATTTCGTTACCCAAATAAGGCAAATGCTTGTATAACAATACTAGCTTGCATTATCACACTGTCGGCTCATTTTGTTGTTCTGTTAAAGCAACAGTGATATTTCTAAGCAACTTTTCAACAAAACCACTGATTTCACCAATAATGTTTTTTCTGGATTGTTCTCTACCAACACAGCTGTGAGAAAGTGCAAGCGTTCCTTATCTACACTGAGGTTTACAGCTGCCAGTACCCATCTTTTGATTATCACATAGAACTAAGGTACAACAAACTCATACAGAAATGTCCTCTCTGATTTAGGAGTAAAGAAAAAGCAAGATTTGCTCTTCTGCAAATACAGTTTGTTTTGTCTTCCTGCAGCGATGGAAGGAAACACTTCCTTCAGTGGAAAAAATACACAGCAGCTCTATGAGCAGCCCATTGACCCAAGGTCTGATGTGAATGGGTGTTCCCTGTCTCTGTTTTATTTATACACAGCACAAATCACTTCTTAAGGAGGGCATACAGTATTTCTTTGTAGAAGGCAGAGTAGCAAACTCCGTGGGAGATAAAAACTGTCATCTTGCATGATATTTTGGGTTGACAAATGAGGAGAAGAGTGGGTAAGCAATGTTTCTGAGAGACCCGATAGAGAAGATGCTATGTAAAGCTATGGCTTTTGTCTAAAAATCCCAAAAGTAATGATGGAGTTTCCTTTTCCAAAACTGATGCATGTCTTGGGGACAGATTTGTAAAGGGGTTCAGATGCTTAATGACATGAAAGGTGTCTAGTAGGAATTTGAAAGTACCTCAGATGCTAAATCCTGTGGAGTAAGTTTGGAGTCTTGGAGGGGTCAAGACGACTTTGCTTCTCCTTAGCAGCAGCAGCTGGCATGACCAGCAGCCCCAGCATGGGACAAGTCTGAAGCCACAAAGTTATGCAGTTCCACTGGATTTCCTCCACGCCACCCCTGCATTTCTTCAGTCCTGATGGTCAGAGCTGTTGATTTTGGTAGTTATGCATTACTGAGCTGCAGTAACACAGCACTGTGTAGCATAATGGTTCACTAGACAGGCTTATCACTTTTTTCTCAGAAGGAATTCCAGATGAAAAGTAATCATCTCTGTTTCATGATTTGGTGCAAAAAATTCCAAAGCCATCTGAGTACTGAAACCTGACTCTTTTTCAATTAGACAGGAATGGGGACTGCAACAACCCTTAGGCAGCTTTGGAAAAGTCTGCCTTGATGTATCCCTAGGTCAGCTGAACAGGTTCTGAGTAATCAGTTAGTTGGTGTTTCCATTTTAATAGCTTTGTATTTTTATGTCTGAGTTTATTACAATTTCAAAGCAGTTTCCCTACTCCTCCTCCATCTGTCTGTTAGTAAGGATTGATAGAAGAATCTTCCCATCTACTCTGCATTTTCTCCAGATGGT